ATAAATCGAAAATTGTAATTGTGAATTTTTTTGTTTGATGACAGTAATGAATTATTTTTTCATTAACTATGTTTAATTTATGCTAATAAATGTTATTCTTAAAAAATCATGATTTCAGTCTTCTTTAATTTCCGACAAGAGTACATTATATATTTCTAATTTCAAATCAACGAATGCTATTTAGTCATAATTGTTTTCGACATTGTATAAAAAGGATTATGCTCTTTGCGTTCCATTTATTGAGATTCATTATATTGTCATAATTGCTCGTAAAATATCGTAAAAGAGATTTGCTCGTTTGTATCTCTTACTCAGCTTCTTAATGGGAGAAAATGGTCACAATATAAGTGCTGCCAAACATTTCATAGCCTGGATCATTGCCTTAGACACCCAGGCATTTAATCTTCGCACCACGTCGGCCCCGCTCCCCCCAAAGCTGCCTACTCTCCACTACTTGCACTTTGGCGGCTCTCGCGGGCAGACAGCTGGCCCGTAAGTGCAGAATGCCCGCGGGAACGCGTTGTGCAGGCCTGCCTTAACCTATGTTGTGTTCTTTGTACCAGAGTCTTTGGTGGATACATAATGCCCTTGATGAGGGGTGCTATCGATGACACCTTTTAGGAACTGCATTCTCATTAATGTGTTCCCTGGTTTTTAGTTCTTAATTTTGCATGAATTGGTGTTGGGCTTAAGTACCTCGGAAAATTTGTGTTGCAACTCAAAGTGCAGTAACTTTTAGGAGAATAATGAAAACGGTTTTACAGTATTACTCATTAATATGGTGCTAGAATTTCTTTGTTATTTTTTTAGAGAGAAATAAACTGAAGTAAATGAAGGGGCATCTTTGTGCCAGGAGCTATTGAATTTTCTTAGCGATATTTTCAAGTTCTTGACACTTCTCTTTTAATTAGTTAAATTATACATTTAGTTTCTTAATCAGTGGAAGTGGCAAATTGTGTGATTAACAACTAATGCAGTGGTGATTCCCCTGTAATAGCACTCGCAATTCATTATCTTCTCAATTCCTAATAGAATTTGCACAATGCAATGGTGCAGTATGAAGGAGAGCTGTTTCTTGGACAAGTCGCTGTTACTGAAAGTGATTCGACAGGGTAAAAGTCTTGAAGAAATCCAAAGGTTTTGAAAATGACCGCAGAATAGGAATGCATTTTGTTTACAAAAATGAAGAGATCAACCAGAAAATTAAAATCCTTGAGTTAAAATAAAAAAAGATTCTTCCTTATTCCAGATCTTAAAAAGACTTTGGGGGAAATAATACACTTTCATACGTTTTCATTATCAATGTCAAAATGTTTACGCAATAATTTAAAAATATTCATTAAACAAAATTTTAAACTTTGTAATACTGTGATACGAAGCAATCATGAAGGGGTGAAACTATGCCAAGCATCGTGGAGCTGAGTTGACGTTGAACGACGCTTAATACATCAAGGCAGGGGCAGAACAGTGGCATAAAGTCATCCCATCCTTTGATGTGACTTTATATGCCGCGGTCGGGTAACATTTTTTGTTCAAAGACGTTTTTTTCTAACAGTTGGTCCCGGCAATACTTCGCTATTTCTGTGTATTGCACATCACACGTCACTGGTCACGTGATAATTAATCACGTTTCAATAGATGAAATGATCTAAATAGATGAAAAATTTTCTTACATGTACTCGTATGGGTTTGTTGTATGTCATGTTTTGGACCGGGTTGTCAAGTATCCTATTGTTAAAACGTTCTCCCTCAAATTTGGGCATGCATTCGCTATGGCATTAGGAGAAATTTGATTTACTTGTCCGAGATTCTAGTAAAAATCCCGTCCGATATTTCACAATCGCAGGGGCTGAATACTTGAATTCAGTGAAGGTGTACTTAATACCTGAAGGTGGGGCTCGGTGTAATTCAGGGGCGTTCGTGTCGATATAAATGAATCAACATCTGGTCAATCGTCAATAACGCCACACGTGACCGATACAATTGAATCCACTCTTTAAACACTCCCATTACTTATAAGAATAAAGTGTGAAAATTTCAGGGAAATCGGTCCAGTAGTTTTTGAATCAATGTGCGACACACACGAACATTTCCTTTTATATATATTATCGCCTCATAAAATAGACAAATCATGTATTTCGTATATTGCTATAACTTTGTTAATTGCGCGAAAAATAAACAAGTTATTTACTAAAATCTTTCCAAGTGTCACAAAGCCAGCCCGGTTTACGAACAGGCGTTGCCGTAGACTACAATTTTATGTATATGCTTGATTTTTACACGAAATCTACGTGTAGTCTATATGACTTTTTAGACTACGTAGATAATGTAATATGTGTAGACTGTTTATTTTTTCACATCAGATAACCCCAAAAATGTATAATTAGTAATAGTAGAAGCATGTTGAAATGTAATATTAAAAAATTTATTTTCGATTAAGTAAAACAAAATATACCATTCCTGATGAAGAAATGACAACCTCCACAACCATCTCAACAAACCAGTAGAAACTTGTTTAAATATGCACATCTGACCCCTTCATCCGACTCTTTCTCTCGAAGTGCAGTGTCACCAAACCGGTGCGCAGAAATATTGTGTAGATCTTTAGTCATGTCGCCAACCTCTTCGCCCCCCGCAAGAGAGGCCGGCCCGATAAGTATTTGACGGTAAAGAAGGCAATTCCGGTCATGACTGTCAACCTCCACAAAAAATACTTTTAAACAAAACAATGTTACATTGTAATTTAAAAAATATTTTAAAAATTAAAAATAATGTTTATTCATAATGGTAGTACTCTTTTGGATGTGATCCAATCAATTTGTAGTATTGGTGTGGATAAATTGAGTATAATTATTAATACATTTGAGCGTTGGGGTGGAATAAGACCCTCGTAGATTCGCTCCGGCCCCACAAAAAAGATTATCATTGTCTACATAGATTACCTTTGTCTACACAGGATTCGTTGTTAACGTGTAGACGTGGACTATGGTTCTTTACACGTAGACGCAAATCACTGTTTACGATACCAAAAACAAGAATTTCTCGGAAACAACTCCGATTTGTAAAATCTTTTTATACGGTTAGTGCTGAACATCCTGTAACAGATAACATAAAAGCAATTTTTCTTTATTCTTCTGTTGCTTTTTCTCTAAAAAATGACACAGTTGCAATTTTTCACGACTCCCACGTCGTTAATATTTACATTACCTACGCTTTGCGTACATTAATGAATTGGAGCACATGTGCTTGAAATGATCACTGACAAAGTTTCTTGAAAACTCGAATGTTTCCTGTGAAATCAAGCTCAACATTTCGTTTTTTCAGAAACGCTGAAATGCCAATTTCCCGAAAATGGCTCCAAATGTTTCCTTTAAATTTTTCGAACAGAACTAAATAGGCTAAACAACATTGACATTGGCATTTTTGTTTTTTCAAAAATTGTACTAAATTATACTACTTTTATTGAGTTCTCTAACGCCCTTTCTAATTATATTACCAGCAATTTGTGTACATTATTGCATTTGTGAATCGAAGCGCTTCACATGATTTCCAATGAAGTTTATCCAAAATTCAAAAGTTTTCTGTGATAAAAGTTTCAAATTTCGCATTTACAGAAATGTTTTAACGTCTTTTTCTCACAAACGGCTCCAATTTTTTTAAATGGAAAAATACAATATAGAACGAGATTTTGTCTCAATATAGAATACAATATAGATTTACTACAATATAGAACAAGACCTCCCTTTTGTCTTATATAATATGTGTGTGTGTGTATGGTGTGTGATATAATGTGTGTGTGTGTGCCTGTGTATGGTGTGTGTGTGGAGTGTGTGTGTGTGTGCGCGCGCGCGTGGGTGTGTGTGGGTGCGTGTGCGCGCGCGCGTGGGTGCGTGGGTGTGCGTGCGCGTGTGAGCGTGAGGTGCGTGTGAAGTGCGCGCGCGTGTGTGTGTGTGCGCGTGCGCGCATATGTGCGTGCATATGTGTGTGTGTGATCACTACGGAGCTGATTTTCGTGCCCTAAAAATCTTGAAATATGCTTTTTAAAATATCCTGATGACCTAAAAATTCTGAAATATTCTTTGTAATATGCAAATAAAATCAAAAACATTTCATTCTCCGCATAAACCTTTCTTGATAAAATTCAGGAGAAGCATGCTGGGAATGAAAAAATACATTTTTGTGCAAACATAGTTTTATCTAGCTTCTCGGTAGAAGGAATTGAAATAAATGTGCACCTTTGTGAAGCTCATTGAAGGTCTTGTTTCACTTTTTTTCTGCCGGGTTTAAAATAAATATTATATCCAAAAATATCCTACATTTGCACATGTACTTAATCTACAGGAAATAAAAAAAAGAAAAGAAAATTGTGACAAGCATTTCTAATCAATGAACGCCCACAAATATATTCTAAAGAAACATGAGACGTTTTCTCTATTTTAATGAAATTTGTCAAAAATGCTCCTATAATTTACGCAAATGTGCACTAACTAGAACAAATCGGAAAAAAATATGCAAAATAATAGAATGCTGCCTATTGATCACTTAATTTTGCATTGTTTTAACTGTTCTTAGTATATTGGGTTAAATAAATAATAGTATTGGACATATTTACAAAACTGCAGGCAAATTAACATAGTTGTTTCGATCATATAATTGTAAACTAAGCTTGTTTAGTGATTTGTGACAGTGATAACAATGAAGTAGTTGCTGTACAGCAGTTTTCCAATCTACGCCCCGCAGATCAAAACCCAGCGGCTTAGCAATTTTGACTGACATTATCCCAAGTTTTAGATATTAAAACACGTTAACTCCTGTTTCAAAATCTGGAAATTTCTGTAGTGTTCTTAAGTTAGTAGTTTTAGGAGGCGCATGCCATCCTTCTACCCACGCGATGTGTCACGTTATAAAGAAAATTTTGGAGACCCTTTGCTGTAAAGAATAAAAACTGTCTGATTGCGCCGAACAGTTGGAGCATTTGAAAACGGTTGCATCCGTTTCAGGACTCTGAGGGGGACACTCCGCTGCACGACGCCATCTCGAAGAAGCGCGACGACATGCTGACGCTGCTGCTGGACCACAACGCGGACATCATGCTCACCAACAACAACGGCTTCAACGCCCTGCACCACGCCGCGCTGCGCGGGAACCCCAGGTGAGTGGGGCCCTTTCAGCACGCCGAGGGGGGGGGGTGCTTTTGGATGAGTAGTTTTGGAGGAAAGGAAACGATTGCAATGGAAAAACAGATTCGATTAGAAAATGAAATGAAAGCACCCATGTGATTGGCACTTAACGAATGACTTGTGGTTATGTGTGTTTCGGTATTTTATCGTAGAGTGTTTATTTATACTTCCGGATATGCATTCTTATACATACATAGTTCATTACGGATTCGTCGTTGATTTGTTTGAATATTGATTACTAATAATACGTGGCGTCGCCGACTCTGTAAACTGTTTTAAAAATAGTTTCATGTGTTGAATATTTCTGTCATACTTGATTTCTTTAATGTCCATCTTAGTTCAAATATGTTCTTTCAGATTCTGGCATTGGACTTACCGATGAATCGTAGTAGGTGATAATTTCATACTTCCCTTCAATAGTTCCCAACACCCAATGATCTTGTATGTTACCTCCATTCGGAATATGAAATGTATGTATTGTTTAAAAATTATAATCGCCATAACAAATACTTGCAGGTTTTGATAATGCTAATAGTTAAATTTTAGTGACTCGCATGGTAATTCTATTGTTCACATAAAGAAGTTAACGTCAGTGTTTTCAACGTCATGAAAGAAAATTGTGGTGTATTGAGCAAACGTACCTTTGGGTACTGAAGTTTAATCATCGCCACCTATATAGATCAATTTAGGAGGCGTTGGGTTAATTTCTGGCATTATCATTAAGATCTCTGCGCCAAAACACGTTTTTAGAAAATTCTTTGAATCTTCTGGCCAGATCCGAAAACAAATTATCTGTTCCCCATCAAAAAACCGACACGCGTCGAATGACTCCTCGTAGGTCTCGATTGGTGCACGGGAAATGGTCAAGCCGTGAGTGACGGAACCGCTCACATACCAACATACGCACTCTAGGAATTTTACTCGAATACTGTGTAGGGATTTTGTTGACAGTTAAAGCACAGTGGAAAATTTTAGTTGTTAATTAAATTAATTATCAGTTTACAAATTCTTGACATATTAATAAAAATAGATCAGTATGTATTTTTCTAGAATATTTAAACTAGAATATTTCAGTCTTCTCCTCGTTTACATAGGCGGCGTATTTTCACGAACTATATTTGATCACTCAAAGTCATTGCTTCTTTTTATAATCTGTGTGTTACTGTCTCTTCTCAATTATTCATTTTACCGACCTTGACGGAAGCAGCCCAAATTATCTTAATAGTCCGGACTTCATCTTGCAGCTGTCTGAAATCGTTATTTAAAATGTTTTTGTAGTCAGGTAGTAAGTGATAAATAGTGACATGTTTTGTAGGATTTGGTTGCCTTTGGGGTTCATTTTAAGGCGGCGTGATGTGTACATGTGTGAAGTAGTAGGCATTGCGGCAGAATGGAAAGGGCAGTGTCCGTATTGAAGTGGAGTTGTGTGTGTGTGTGTATGTGAGGGCTGGCCCCTCCGGCGGGAGATGCAGGAGGAGGGGGCGGTTTGGCGCGCGGCGGGGCAGAGGCTGCAAGCGGCGGCGGTGCCGGTCGATCGATGGCGTGCTGTGCCGGCACCCCGCCCCACCCCACCCCCGCCCCCGCCCGCGCCAACCGCGCCGCGGCGCGCGGGCTTCGGGACTAGCAGCGGGTGGTACCGCCTCCCGTGACTGCCGTAATGAGCGCACGCGGGGTCGAGAACGCGCGGACTAGCGCGCCTAGGCCAGGCCAGGGCAGTGCAGGGCAAGGCCGGGATGGGACCCACTCGCTTCGGCTGCACTCGGCTCCACCTCGGCTCGCCTCCGCGCTCCGACCTCCGCGCCCCCGGCTGTTGCCTTTGCAAAAGGCCTGCATGCATACAGCTCGCTCTCTTTCATTGAAAATGCTAGCCAGCGTGCGGAAAATTGAAGATGCCTCTTTCTTTTCTTATTTTTCTCCCTTTCAATATAAACGGTAGTATTCCCTAGAGGCGTTGTTAATATCTCGCCTCTTTTTACAACATTCATCTCCCTTGTGTGCATGCGAATCACGTGTCTATGACCTCCTGCCATTTTGCACTCCTGTGTAATGGTGTTTTCGGAACAGAGGTTTTAATACGGACTCTGAACAATCATCTACAAATGGCAAATAAATTTCACTTGATCTTTTCGCCGGGGAAGGATGACATTTATAACTCGCGCTGAATAATTGCCGTTCACGGAAAATGTTGTGATGATATGGTGTGTAGTTTATTGCACTTTTATTTAGTAACGAACTAGCGCATACGATGTTGCAGTTAACCCAAATCCAAATCTGCTTCACCTAATTCTAAACCATACTACGATTGACGCTTAATAGCTTCCGTGTGAAATGTCCGTTGATTTTCTTTTGACTGTTTAGCCTAAGACAAGTAAAGATATCGGAAGGTGGCAGAGCGTTATCATGCTCTTAAAAAAATCTAGGGAAATAAAAAAGTGATTCTTGGTTGTCCGCGAGGAGTTGCGTCTCAGTCGATCTCATCCCGGACAGCCATGAATCAAATGATTTCGGCCGCGGCAGCCTACGAATTCGAATGAAGTATCAGTAGTCGCAATTTTAGTACAAAGACGAAAATATGTTTGTGCTTTCTCTCTCGTATCTTATTGGTATGCAGTCGCAAAGAGAGAATACTAAAATATTGTTGGGGTGTGCGCATCCGGAGCATGGTAGAATACTAGGCGTAGAGAGCGGCACACGTGCGTTTTGTGAAGGAGAGTGGGCGGAGTGCGTTGCAGTTAGCGTTCTGTTTCCTGCGCCGTGCGCTGCGAACCCTCGCTCTGGCTTTTGCTTCGCTGGAAGCGTCGCGGGCCTCCGCTCATATGGACGTTTCACGACCAATTTCACACACACTCTCATGCACTACACTACCATACATGTCGTGGGATCGATCAGGAGCTTAGAGCTTGCCCCGGCTGGAGCGGTGCCCCTTTGGGGTAGATGCCTGGGTGGGGGAAACACTGCAAGCCGACGTGTAAATCGGCGCCTGATATCGCCATCTACCGGGGAAATATCAATGGAAACGGTGGCAGTTTCCCACTCTTCTTCAGATGGTGGAGGTTCCTTCATTTTGTGGCAAATTTTAAGACTACGTTCTGGTTAGATTAATATTCGTTTCTAGTCGTGAATGCGATTAAAAAAGAAATATTTAGACTATATGGATTTATTACTCAAGAAAAAAGTATTAAACGTGAAAACAATGGTATGACGCATAAGGTGCGTGTGTTGGACCTGCAAGCATAGGCGGTTTGTTTTTCATCTGATTGTGAATTGATGATTTTAGAAGTTCCTAACAGAGAACAAATTTGAGTGGTTTTATGCAGAACATATATAATTATTGTATGTATTTCATTTTAAAAATAACTTCTGTCACTCGACTTTTATCGCTTGCACAAAGTGCATAGAAAATTCGAGTGCCATATCTTCTAAACGTCAATTTGTCAAAAGCAAAGGTTTTAGAAATGATGGGCTATTAATTGTTACTTTTTAGAGCTTGTGTTCTCGTTAACAGCGAGGAGTAAATCCTAGCGAATGAGTAGCAGTATTTTTTTTCTTTAAATGGGCCCTAATGACCTCCTTGGGAGCTTTGAGTGGCATTGGAGGAGGGTGCGGGAGAGCTGTGCTGGGCTTCTCCACTTGACGCCTCTTAGCTTTTCCTGTTCCCGGTGCTCGTGCTCAGCGCCCTGGGCGCCCGGCGTCGTTGCGCTGCCTCCGGGGCCCTAGGCCGGCGCTTGGCGTCCTCCCGCACACGTGCAAGAAATTTCCAAAAAGACACCCTGCGCCGACCCGCCGTGATCCTAATCTCAGCACACGCGCTGCCCGGTTGCGGCTGGGCGGTGGTGGCCTGGTCGCGGGCGTTGTTGTCGCACGGGGAACGAGGGAGAGTCGTCAGCGACGGCGAAGCCGCTGCCTCATGCCGCAGCGCCTCCGCCCCCCCGCTCCCCTCCGCCCCTCCGACGCGACGTCTCTCGCACTATGCAAATGATGGCGAACCCCCGCGGCCCCGCGCACGCCCGCCATGCTAATGACGGTAAACTTTGCTAATTAAAATTAATAATTATCCAATTAGAGTTTTTACGGTGGGCGGGCGACGCATGGAGGGCGCGTCCGCCCTCGTGGCCTCGCTCCAACTCTCGGCGCTGGTGCCGCCGCAAGAAAAAGGCAGCGGCGCGCGCTTGCAGCTGATAAAGGGGCTCCGCGTTTGAGATATGCCTGCGGGCGAGAATGGAGCGAATGGAACGGACGGATGGGACGAGAAATTGGAGGCGTTCAAGATAATTCCACAGGGAGGAAACGCCAAGATTCTGACGGAAGCGAGAAAGGTCAAAATGAACGAAAAGGGACCATTCAAAACGATGTTTTATTTAAACTTGAAAACTAGTGACTGACGAGTAATGTAAATGAAGGAATCGGTGTATTTCTGTGATGTAAATGAATACTTCTGGAAAAGAAAAAAACGTAAAGTAAGGATGTTGAAACTTAAGAAAATCATTAGATGAATTATAAAAAATGTAAAGGAAAATGGTACAATTAAAAATGATTGAAAGTATCTATAAAAGGTTTTGTAGAAGGTCCGTTGTGGTGTTACTAATTCAGCTCGTGTTTTCTTGAAGTGCACTTATTTTGTATTTTTGAAAAGGCGTTCCGCAAAGGCACCACCTGTGCGGAGGTGCGGTTGCCGCCTCGGCCCACTCGGCTCGGCTCTGCTCGGCCCCGGCCCCGTTGCGGTGCTCTAATTCTTGCATGGGGTTGCGAATTACAGCAGGTTACAGCCACTAAAGGGAATGAAAGGCGGATGTAAAACAATTGGCCGCTCTCTGAAACATTGAAGAGATCCAGCGCCTTCTCTTCCTTTCGCGTCCAAATGGGTTCGCCGCCGGGCCCGCGTGGACAGCCGGCTTTGCGCCGCCAACTTTTCATTACGAAGACGGGCGACAGAGCGAAGGAAGCATCATTGTGGCTCCAGAGGGGAGGGGGATGGCGCCCCCGAAGCAGCTGCGTTACGGGATGCGCCAGCATGCAGCGGTAACACGCTCGGGAAGGTCACGAAGTTTTACATTTCCATTCGAAAAAATATGATACAAGTCTTCATTTTCCTTTCGAATTTTGAGTAGGTCTAGATTTTGATGGAAGCAAAGGTTTTGGAGATTCTTGAAACATGAAGAATGTTTTAACATGTGCAACCGTCCGTCTTTCCCTCTAGCAACACTAAACCTTCCCTCCCTTTGCACGGCCGTCGTCTTTCGTCCGTCGCTCCGTCCACCCTTGTCTCTTCGCACGTTCATTTACCATCTAACTGCTTCTTTGTCTGCCCGTCCGTCCATCTCTTCAGTCCCGCCCGCCCGTTCGTTTGTGGCGCCTTAATTGTTTACTATATTTTCTCCCAAATGGGTATTCTCTGATTGATCCTGAGTCCCTGCATATATGCCATATGTTAAATTTTTATTAAACCGTCCGGAGTTTCGAAAATTGTGAAAGTTCAAAATGTGATTTCCCTATTCAATTATATTTCTTAAAGATAAAGATTGTTTTTCTAAATGCAATCTACTTCGAAACACTGGACTTGCTTGTAACTTCATACAGTTTCAAGGCTTTTTTTTTTTCAAATTAGTAGTTTCGTGTAATTTTCAGTTTTGTGCGATTTTTTTAAGTGATGGCCGAGGTTTTAATAGCATCCGCGTTTTAATAGCATCTGTTCCTCCCGCTAGTCACGCTTCGTCTATATCCTCCACACGCCCTATTCAGCCTCCATGGCCTACAAAACCACGCCCCTCCCATCCAGCCTATTGCGCTCTATTTGGCGTAACACTACTAACTCTGGGCTACCATAGCTGTCCTGCCCACACCTCCGGCTCCGCTCATCCATCCTATTCTGCAGGATTTTTTCTTTCCGGCCATCTTGCTTCTTCCGTCTCTTCCGCACGCCCTACATGGCATTCCTTGGCCATTGTGCCAACACCTTTCGCCCCGCCCATCCAGCCCGTTCCTCTCTGTCCGCTCCTCCCGCTCGTCACGTACCTCCCACTTCTTACGTCTTTCCCTGACGGCCATCCTTCTACTCGGTTCTTCTTTCGTACCACGTTCGCTGTGCCGCTCATCTCTCTCCTCTCACTTGTTCTCCTTTCTCTCTTTTCGCTTTTTCTGCTTCGCCCGCTCCTTGCTATCCTTCTCCCATCTCGTTCCGGCAGCTCTGCCCGTCTGGTCCTGCTCGGCCACTCCCCGCGTCACATCTCAATTTCCAGCAACAATGATGCCCACATGGATTGGGTATTGCATTTAACTGAATATTTAATAAAATGAGCTAGCAGTTTCGAATCGCAACCAAGATGTTTTCAATTTTTGGCCCCCCAAAAGTATTTGTGCCAAAGCTCTGAGCAATCTAGGTTCTAAAAAAATTTTGTGGCACAAACATATGCACTCACTTTTATGTAACTGCAGTACGAAACTGAGCAATACAAGAAGAGAGGGAGTGGGGGTGGGGGTGGGGCGAAAAAAAAAATCTTCGGAATAGTCACTCGATATCTCGGTAAAACACAAACTAACTTGGTCCTATGGATAGAGTCTAAATAGTGTTTAAATTTCATGTTGATAGATAAAGTTGTGTTTTAGTTCAATTTTGTCTTACAACGGATAGAGGGACAGATGGATAAAATTTGATGTCAGGTGAGTTTCGCTTTACTAATGGAATAAATCACTTGACAAATGAAGCTAAAAATTCGAAAATCACAGACACTTTTAATTTATTTTATGTATCGATTGCGTTACCGTTACTAACGATCCGGACAAACAAGTGCTATGTAGCCTAACTAGTTTTGTTTAATGTTTTTTGAAATTTGGTCGTAATTCTCAATGTATGCCGAATGTAATGCGATGTTGAGCTTTATAAAATGGTACATCAACAAGCTCGTACTCCAATGTGTGGACTTCTTGGAACGTGTGATATTTAAAAGATCTCTCTATTTCCATTTTAGTGTTTACTCGTGAAACATAATACATTACAGAAGCGCATATTCAACGGCTAAAACCTTCGCAATTAGGTTAGTTGTCGGATTAATGTTTCTAGAAATATTCAAATAGTGGGTGCAATTGAGAAGAAATTTTGTGCCCGAAAATACAATGGTGTAGTTACCTCTGTTTCGTGAAACTTCCTTTCTTGCTTCTGAGTCCCTTTTCACTTAGAAATTCCTCACATGAAATACACGCCTTTTGTAGTTCAAAATTTTGGAAGCAGAATGTACCCCTAAAAATATAGTACAATACAAGAATATATCTTGTAAATGAAAAAGACATTGCTCTTTTTTTTCGGAGGAAATCGTACTTCTTTGGCAGGATTTCCTATTCTTTTACATTTGTGCTCGAAGAAATATTGCTTTATTCATTTCTTACATGACCTCTTTTATACGTTGTGAGGAGAGCACTGGGTTGTTAATTTTATCCCTCGTTACATTCTTTCCTTAAGTCGTAGAATTTTTATCACTGTTTTTTTGACCTCGTATAACATTATGAAGTGTTGGATTAATATCGTGGAACGGTTGTTTGGGTATTGAAATTGTATTTTGTGATGTGTATTTTTGGACAATGGCTGTCTTTTTCTCGTACAGTATGGATAATTGTGTCGAGGAGCTGTCCCGCCTGTAACCTGGTCAGTGAAGGCTAGACGGTGTGGACACGCACGCGAGCGACAAATCTCTTGCGCCTGTCAGCAGCGTGTGCGCACGCCCGCGCCCTGCACCCCGCCTGCACGCCCGCGCTCTGAATTATAATGGAGGCTTCGCGCGAAATAAAAGAGCGGCGCCGCCCAGGTCCGCGCCGCAGCGGTCAAAGGGGTGGGGAAGGGGGCGGGGCGGCGTGGCAGAGGGTGAGATGCTTGCAGACGCACGGGTGGGAGAGAAAGGCTCTCCCGCATCTCCCGCTGGCGCCAGCCCTGCCGCTCCCGCCGCCGCTGTCGAGAGAGTTTAGAGAAATGGTTGTGCGGGGTCTGCCTCGGCACTTCGGGAAATATACGAGCCCCAGAAAACGAGTTTCAAAAAAGAAAAAAAATGTCGGCGCGAAGAGGACGGAGCCGGTGCGAGAGGAAGACGAGGAAAAAGCAGGTGAGGAGGTGGAGGAGGAAACGGGAAGACGGCGACGGCAGGACGACTTTCACTTTTTACTGGAGAAGCTGAGAAAATCATTCGTATTGTGAACAAGTTTTACAAACGACTTTTGGCGAGTACCGGCCATCGCGCTTCTAGAGAAATTAACTTCGGTGATTTAGTTGCGGCTGTTAGGAGTTCCACGTGCTACAGATATTCTTCCCCAACGACTGTAACACAGCAAAGCTCAGACATGAATTACAGCAGGAAGGGTGTGTGAAATACTGCGTGGTTCGCAGACACCATACTACAATAGGTATGATTGGACCCCTCTTGGCATTAGAAAATTGATAATCTGGGAAAACATTGTCATAAGAGATAGTAAATGTATGTACTAAAAACAGGAAACATAAGCCAAGGTGCACAATGAAATGAGAATACCAGGAACATATTTCAACTTTTTATGGACGTTTGTTTGAAAATTTAACTCTTTTTTTTTTCTGTAAAAGATTCTCAAACCTAATATCTCTATAAGGCACTCTTAATATTCAAGAAACTCTGATTCTCAGTTTTGTAACATCAATGTGCCAGGGCTTGGAGCTTAACTGTTGTTGGAGGTTCAAAGTACCTTGAACATCAGTGCAATCTGTAATTACCTATTGAGGGAATGTTACCACTGAATGTCAGAAGCCCCGACCCAGACATTGACAAAATCAGACCTTTGATTTGTTTAGAATTGTTAATCGCCCCTTTTGGACAAAAACGCATTTTAATTTTAGTATTTACTTTGTATATTACGATGTTTATTTACAGTGTTGTGTTTACAGTGTTACAGTGCCCCAATTTATTTATTTATTACTTGAAACAACACCCTAAATTGAAGCAATTGGAATAATATGGTGATCGCATCTTACAAGCACACGTGACTGTGGGAGCGCTTCGCCTTGCACTCGCCCCTGGGCCAGTTGCTTATTATGAGCTCGGGGGCAGCTTTATGAAGTTTCTTTTCGTCTTTGTGTGGGATCATGCATTGAGGAAAAAATGTTTCACAATTACGAAGAAAAATGGTGTACCTCCATATTATTGAGAACTACATCTCTCTTCGTGGTTCCATTTCAATTCGTGTTAGA